CTACCCCTACTAAAAATACAAAAATTAGCCATGCATGATGGTATGTGCTTGTGGTCCTAGCTACTCAGGAGGCTGAGGCAGGAGGATCACTTGAACCGGGGAGGTAGAGGTAGAGGTTGCAGTGAACCGGGATTACGCCGCTGCAAAAGAACATTATTAAGAAAGTTAAGAGATAAGTCATAGAATGTGAGAAAATGCTTGCAAATTATATGTTGATAAGGTTCTTACATCTAAAATATATGTTGAACAAAGTTACAACAAATTTAGTTCAATTTAGATCGAATAGGCTTTTATTTGCAATTCATGAATTGGGGCAGCATCCCATTCTACAAAATAGGTAAGAATTTCCATAGGGCATGACAGAACAGTGGGTTCTGTAAAGTAGGAACAAAAAACCCAGAAACAATAGAAAAAAGTGGGGCTCTCGGCCGCTGAGGTGGCAGGAGGAGTGGCAACAGCCACGTAGCCCAGCTCCATAGAGGCTGGCACACCAGGGCTTGTAAGCACTGAGCACCGGACAGGCGCCTTTCCTGCTGACAAGAAGCCCAACTGGAAGGTGAGTCCAGCAGAAGGGTAAGTGAAGGAAGAGCCCAAGAGGAGATTCGTGCAATTGTCATCTAAACCTGCTCCTACAAAAGCAGAAATGAAGCCAAAAAAGGCGGTCATGAAAGGATAAATCTTCAGACACAAAAGGGAAACCAAAGGCAAAAGGGGAGCAAAAGGAAAACTGGCCAAAGTGGCTAACCAAGAAACTGAAGAAGACTTACCTGCAGAAAACGAAGAAACTAAAACCCAGGAGAGTCGTGCCTTCGATGAAGGCTGAGGGAAAGAAGCCAAGTCTGTCTGGCGATAAAATGAGTTTGGGTAAAAAAAAAAAATAGCCAAGTCCGATTAATATCATCTACTGTGTTTTAGTAGTCCCCGTCTCCCTCCTTGTACAATCCAGAGGAATATTTTTATTAACTATCTTGTAAATGCAAGTTTTTTAGTCACTCAGGGAACATTTTTAAGAAGGAGGGAATCCCACCTCATCCTATTTTTTAAGTGTAAATGCTTTAAGAGGTGAAATCATTCGCTGGTTGTTTATTTTTTGGTACAACCAGAAAATAGTGTGGAATATTGAATTATGGGAGGCTTTGACTGTCTTGAGTGTCAGCTTAACATTCCGTAGATAGGGGGTTAGTTCTTATATCCTCTAATACTAAGCATACTAAATGACAATATGGAGTCATGGTCCTGCATTTAATGTCTTGAAGATTTTAAATTACTTCCATTCCCGTGTTCTTTTTTAGTAGAATTGTTTCCTTATAAAAACCAGTCTTTGATCATGGCTTTCCCCGTCAGAATTGTGTGCACTCTACGACACCTTTGGTTATGGTAGTCCTATATTTTCCTAATAACATTGTTAGTGTGTTGTGAAAGATTGAAAATTAGACTATGCAGTGTATATGGTATTAAATTGTGAGTTGCTGGGATGTATTTAACAACTTATCAACATGTGAAGATACTGGTACTTGATCGCCTCTTAAGGAAAATTTCCCTCCAAATTTAAGCTGGAAAGTCCCTGGAATAACCTCTAAAAGTACATGGTGGCTGGGTGCGGTGGCTAATGCCTGTAATCCCAGTACTTTGGGAGGCCGAGGCAGGCAGATCACCTGAGTTCAGGAGTTTGAGACCAGCCTGGCCAACATGGCAAAACCCTGTCTCTACTAAAGATACAAAAATTAGCCGGACATGGTTGTGGGTGCCTGTAATCCCAGCTACTCAGGAGGCTGAGGCAGGAGAATCGCTTGAACTCAGGAGGCAGAGGTTGCAGTGAGCCAAGATGGCACCAATGCACTCCAGCCTGGATGACAAGAGCAAAACTCCATCTGCGGGGGGTGGGGTGGGAAAAACATGACATTTTAGATTTTTGGTACTTATATTAAAAATGTTTGCAAATTGAAATGTGTGTGTACTGATTTTCAACACAACAATAAAATCTCAATTATGAAAGAATATTTCGAAGAAAAAAGAAAAAAGCAGATTGGAGTTGAGCACAGTAGCATGTGCCTATAGTCTCAACTACTCTGAGACTAAGCAGGATCAAGACAAGAGGATCATTTGAGCCCAGGAGTCCAACATGGGCGACATAAGAAGACCCTAACCACTTTAATGAAAAAAAAAAAAAGAAAAGAAAAGAAAGAAAGAAAAAAGAAAGAGGATTGGTTAACATCAGTTTACTTCAGGTAACTTATGAAGGTAAAAGCAGAGAGGCTTTTCTTATTACTCAGACTCAGGTTGACTGGACCCTTTCTGATTGGTTGTTGTGCATCTCTTGTTTTCAGGAAAAATTGCTCAATTGGGAAAATCTACCTATTTCCTCAAAGTTTCATTTTGATCATGTGGCACTTAGCATGAGTGACTATTTTTATTTTGTCTGGTCTGTTGGGGCCTACTGCAGGAGCTCTGTTCAAAACAGTAGCCTCCCGTAAAAGTTGAGTAACATATGTAAATAACTGTTACAATTCAACAATAAACAGACAAATAACCAAATTTTTTAAAAGGGAAAGGATTTAAGTAGACATTCCTTAAAATAAGAGGCCAATAAGCACATGAAAAAAATGCTCAACATCGTTAGTCATTATGGACTAGTCAGAACCACTGTGAGAAATCACTTCATACCCATTAAGATGATTGTAATAAAAAAGACAGATAATAACAGTTATTGGTGAGTTTGTGGAGAAATTGAAACCCCCATACATTGCTGGTGGGAATGTAAAATGGTGCAGCCACTGTGGAAAACAGTCCGGCAATTCTTTAAAAAGTTTAAAACTTTTGGGCTTCAAAGGCATTATCAAGAAAGTGAAAAGACAACTCAGAAAATGGGGGGAAATATTTACAAATCATGTCTAATAAGGGACTTTTACATCCAGTTTATAAAGAATGCTTCCAACTCAACAATAAAAGGGCAATCCTTTTGTTGTTGTTGTTATTGTTGAGACAGCGTGTTGCCCTGTCCCCCCAGGCTGGAGTGCAGTTTTGTGGTCATGGCTTACTGCAGCCTTGATCTCCTGGACTCGAGTGATCTTCCTACCTCAGCCTCCTGAGGTGGCCTCCTGGTGGCCTCATACCACCATGCCTGGCTTAATTTTTTTTTGTTTTTTTAATTTTTATACAGACAGGATCTTGCTATGTTGCCCAGTCTGGTCTCAAACTCCTCAGCTCAAGCTGTTCTCCCGCCTTGGCCTCCCAAAGTGCTGAAATCAGAGGCATGAACCACCAGGCCCCGCTATGCCACCCAATTTTTTAAAATGGGAAAGTAAAAAAAAATAATAATAATTACTTTATGATCCAGAAATTCTGCTGCTAGGTATATAATGAAGAGAATTGAAGACATATATTCGCATTAAAACATGTACACAAATGTTCAGATTAATTTGGCCAAATAATGGAAACAGCCCAATTGTCCATCAGCTAGCGACTGATGAGTAGATAAACAAAATGTGGTAGACCCATATAATGGAGTATTATTCAGCCGTAAGAAGGAATGGAGTATTGATTCATGGTACAACATGGATGAATCTTGAAAACATCACGTGAAGTGAAAGAAGTCAGACAAGGCTACACATTGTACGAGCCCATTTATATAAAATCTCCAGAATATGCAAATCCATAGAGTCAGAAAGTAGATTAATGGTTGCCAGGAGCTGGAAGGAAGGGGAATGGGGAGTGACCTCTAATAGGTATGAGGTTTCTTTTTGGTATGATGAAAATATTCTGAAACTGGATAGTCATGATGGTTGCACAACTTTGTGAATGCACTAAAAACTACTGAATTGTACACTTCAAACAGACATATTTTATGGTATGTGGATTACATTTTGACTTAAAATATATTTCCTAGATTTAGATTTACTACTTTATTCTTTTCTGCTCCTGGAAATTTAAAGCCTTGTTTCCTTTTCCCCTCATCCTCCACAACCCATTTTTGTTGCTCAGCAATCCCTCTCGGTGATACCTCCAAAATATATTGAGTCTTCTTTTATTTTCTATCAGCTCAGTAGTCCTGGACACTGTCATTCCTTGTCTGTATAGCTGTACTAGGTACCTCATTGATCCTCCTGCTTCCAGTCTTGGCTCACTCCACCCCCACACCTCCCATTAATTTATTCTCCAAAAAAATAGCCAGAAAATTGTTCTTAAATTAAATGTATCATGGCTTTTCCCTGCTCAAAACACTTCAATAAAATCCAGACCCCCTAAGTGACCTAAAGTGTCTGTATGATCTGGCACGTACCTGCCTCTCTACTTTCATCTCCTACCAAGATCGCACCGTTACTAATCTCATGTCACAATTGGCCTTTCTCTGCTTGAACTCAGCAAAGTCTTTCATGCTCTAGGGCTTTTGCACATGTAGATCCCTTTGCTTAGAACACACTTTCCTACTGCTCCTGTCATAGCTGCCTTCAATCTTCCTTAAAGTCATCCCCTCAAATAGACCTGTGACCATTGTAACTGAAAAAGGAAACCCTTGCTCTGCTTTCTCCATCTGAGCCCTAATATTTATTTTCTTAATAGCACTTATTGCAGCTGGTGGAGTTTTCATTTTATTGCTTGTTTACTCTTCTCTCTTTAAATCTGTTTTTCCTCACTAGACCTTCAGACAGGGGCCATATTATTATAGATCATGATTTTTTCCCTAGTGTCTAATGCAGCCCGTGTCACTTCGTAGTGTTCAATACATACTTATTAAATGACCAACTGAATGAATTAGAGTATTTTGCAAATAATCCTGGGATATTTAACCTTTCTTACTCAGTGTAGCATTTTAAGATAGATATTCCTTCATTTGATAGATATTCCTTCTTCCACAAATGTACTTTTAAGAGTTAAATAAGATTGGCCCCAAAATTATCCTTCAAGAAACTCAACTATTGACATTTTATCTCTCTGAAAAAATTCCACATTTATGTTTTACTATTTTCATTACTGTTAAGTTTTTCTTGTTCTCAATGCAGAGTGATGGCTGTTTTAGTACTTCAGGTGGAATTCGTCCTTTTCATCTTCAAAACTGGAAGCAGAAAGTTAATCAGACTAAGAAAGCAGAATTCGTACGCACAGCAGAAAAATTTAAGAATCAGTAAGTATAAGAATATTATCTTCAAATAACATCACTAGCCATTTTATAATGGACAATAAAAAATTAATTCTACCCTACCTAGTCTCACATTAAGTTATAAAATTGTAATCACTAGCCTGTCAAATATAACAAGAGAAAGATGGGAGGTATGAAATGGACAAATAATAGGCTCTTTAATATAAAGTTAATTGTAAGTAGAGTAATTTCAGTTTTATTTTTACAATTTTGAATCTGTGTATTTCAAGGGAAATAAAATAGCTGTTTCTTTAGATTTTGTATAACAAATAACAGACAATCTATTTTCACTTTATAACTAAACGCCTGGTAAATGTTTTTGAGGAAGTGAATAGTTTTTGTGTTTTTTTATTATATTTGTATGAAAGTGTTTTATAAATGACAAACATCATATATTTAAATTGTTCTTCTTCCATTTTACAAATGAGGATGTTGAGGATCATAGAGGATAAACATCTTTCCATAGGTTACATGCTTAATAAATGGTGTCTGAGGGACTCCTAGGCTGGCTCCAGCCACTCTGAAAGCCATCATTCTTACTAACCAGTGCTGTTCACCAGCAAGCCTATTTGAATATGTGGGTGTGATCTCACTAAGGAAGACAGTGAATCATTTTAATGAAAAGTCAGTACTCTTACTTTTTTTTTTTTTTTTTTCAGTGCATTTTTAATTGATCTCACTTCCTTGGTTTCTGCCCCTTTCAGATCCATTCTGCCCATTATGACCAAGCTATTTGAGAAGCTTCCATTTATTTAAAATTTTCAATATATATGAACTTCTTCTTTAAACAACCAGTGATATTTATTGAATGTTCAATGTTGTCAGCAGTACCAGCATATGATAAATATGAGGAATGTTAAAAAAAAATTGGAACTCAAGGCACCCCACTCTACCCTACAGTTGAGAGCTTTATCAAAACATTGCTTTGAACCTACATAGTATCAACTTGCCAAAGAACATGAGAAAAGGAGCCTATTATAAGGAATGGTCTCTGGATCAGAATTGGTGGCAGTTCTCTATTTAGAAATTCTACCAATGAAAAAGTGTACTGTTAGAATTTTGAAAAGCTATACCATATTTTAGCTTTTGGAGATTGAATTCTCCTTGCATTTATATAATACTTTTGTCTTTTCCCCCAACTTTATTGAGGTATAACTGACAAATAAAAATTATATATATTTAATGTCTACAGTGTGGTGTCTGGATGTACATATACGTTGCAGAATGATTACCACAATCAAGCTAATTAACATATTCATCACTTCACACAGTTACCTTGTGTGTGTGTGAAGAGTTGAGAATATTTAATATCAATGTTCTTAGAAAAGTGAGCTGAGATTTTCATTATGTTAAGCGAAATAAGCCATACACAGAAAGACAGACAATGCATGATCTCATTTATATGTGGAATCTTAAAAAAGTCAAACTCAGAAATAGAGAATAGAGTGGTGATTACCAGAAGTCTGGGGGTGATGAGGTGGGAGTGGGGATAATGGGGAGATGTTGGTCAAAGGGTACAAATTATAAAATAGAAAAGACCTGGAGACCTAATGTACAGCATAGTGACTATAGTTAATAATAATGTATTGTATACTTGAAGTTGTTAATACCTATATCTTTAGTATTCAGAATTTGAAAAAAATACAATTATTTAAAATTTCCAAAATGCATTACTCTAGATAGAAGTAGATTCTAGGTTAGAGGTTCCGTTTTATGTTTCTTTCTAGATAGGGTAATGTCCACCAAATGGTTAATATCCATAGATACAGCAACCAGTATGTTTTACAGTTCTGAGTAGGCTTCTTCATCTGTTTTAAGGCATTGGAAAAACTCACTAAAGGAATATTAGAAAAACTCATTGTAAGAGTGTTTCTATCTAACAATTCACATAAACACAAAGGAAAAACCACTATCTATAATATCATTTGGTTTTATTTTTAGAATAGGTAATATATTTACATGGTTCAAAAATCAAAATATATCAAAGGGTACCCAGTGGAAAGTCTCAGTTTTACTCTTGATCCAAGCCACCCAGTTCCTTTCCACTCAGTTAACCCACTAGTTTTGGTTTCTTATGTATCCTTCCACAGATATTTTATGTGTTTATAAAGAAATATAAATATATATTCAGATTTTTCCTTTTTTGTGTAAATGGTAGCATACTGTCCACATTGCTCTGCATCTTGTTTGTTTTTTTTTTCTTAAGTGTATATCTTAGATAACAAGGAATTGTAGAATTTGCTGGGCACAATAATGGCATTATAGTTAGGTAAGCCAAATATCTGTACTCTCTCGAGGCACACACAAAAGTTTGTTGGGGTGAAATTGCGTAATGTAATGGATTTACTTGAAAATACTTAAGCTAAGCTAAGCAAAGCAAAGGTAGATGTAATGGATTTACTTGAAAATACTTAAACTAAGCAAAGCAAAGATAGATGGATAGATGAAATGAGAGGTAAAACTGCTGAATCAGGGTGAGATGAAAGGCATATCAGATGATGGGGGTCAATTTACCATTCTGTCCTTTTGAATATGTCTAACATTTTCCTACAAAAACTTTGTTATAAAAAGAGGTTATCTTGGAGATCTTTTTCTGTCCGTACATAGAACAGAATACCACTGTATCATATTCCAGTGTATAAATGTAATATGATTTATTAACCTGCCCATATTTATGGATGTTTAGGTTATATTCAATCTTTTTTTAATAACAAACAGTGCTGCAATTAATTACCATCCCCACATAGGTCAACATTATTTGTTTTTGAGTATATCTTCAGGATAAATTCCTGAAAGGAAATACTGGGTCAGAGATAAATGAATTTGCAATGTGATAAATATTGCTAAATTGCCCTCCGTAGACAACAGTTCCATCAACAATGTGTGAGAAGACATGTTTTCTCACAGTTTTGTCAACAAAATATATTAAATTTGTGATTGTTTTGCCGATATGATAGGTGTGCAGTGTCACTGTGATAGTTTTAATTTGCGTTTCTTCTATTGAGGAGGTTGAGCATGTTTTCATTTTTGTCAACTTGTCTCTATTAATTAGCATATTTTCAATATCCTTATAGGTTAATATTTCTAATCCCGGAAAATGGAAAGTAAGTTGAGTTTGTCATGAACTAAAAACTGTTGAGTGGTATAAAGTTGTAGCATATCCCATGTCCATGGCAGACGTTTCTTTTTATCATAGTAATTTTCCCCATCTGCAACCAGAGCCTAGGTGAACTTCCCAGTCCTCAACACAGGACTCCATATCTGTCCTCAGTCCATTAGAGTTGCCAGGTGGGACTGAAATCTATTTGATATCTTTATCTACCCATTACTTCTTCTCACAAACAATAGAAGTTACCTAAACACACATGCTAAGACATGATCCCCTCAGCCTTTGGAGCAGTGCGGTGGGCTCTGGGGCAGTCTCATCTGTCTACCCCCCTGTGTCTTATGAATATTAAATTTTTCTCTATGGGCAGTCAGACGCTGTGGCTCATGCCTGTAATCCCAGCACTTTGGGAGGCCAAGGCGGGAAAATTACTTGAGGTCAGGAGTTTGAGACTAGCCTGGCCAACATGGTGAAACTCTGTCTCCACGAAAAATACAAAAATTAGCCAGGCATGGTGGTGGGTGCCTTTAGTCCCAGCTACTCAGGAGGCTGAGGCAGTGGAATTGCTTGAACCAGGGAGGCGGAGGTTACAGTGAGCTGAGATCGCACCACTGCACTCCAGCCTGGGTAACAGAGCGAGACTCCATCTCAAAAAAAAAATTATCTATGTGTGGCAAAGTGGAAAAGATTGGGAAACTGGTATAGTTGCCTCTCAGGTTGTATGAATTAAGTCAATGGCCAGAGATGCTCCACCACTTATTAAATCCAAGATTAGTGGAGAAATATTCACATTAGTTTCCACCTTCTGGGGGAAAGAAACACGTTAAGAAAATTAATTTTTTCTGGGCATGATGGCTCACGCACTTTGGCAGGCTGAGGTGGGCAGATCACTTGAGCTCAGGAGTTCAAGACCAGTTGGGGCAACATGGCAAAACCCTGTTATCTACCAAAAAAAAAAAAAAAAAATTAGCAGGGCATGGTGATGCGCCCCTGTAGTCCCTGCTACTCGGGAGACTGAGGTTGGAGGATTGCTTGAGCCAGGGAGGTCAAGGCTGCAGTGAGCTAAGATGGTACTGTGGCACTCCAGCCTGGGTGACAGAGCCAGACCTTGTCTCAAAAAAAAAAAAAAATGTAATTTGAAAATTAATTTCTTTGCCCAATCAAAAAAGTTTCTCGGTAGTGCTTTATTTTGTTTTTGTTTTCTCTTAGGGTGCAAACTAACAACAAGAACTTACTGGTAGATAGACTAAATCCAAGGGGCAGAGACGTGCTGAAAGAAGCTCTGAAGTAAATGTAGACAGTAGTCATTAAATACACGAAATTTCCTGTCTTTGTAGATGGTTAGTCTCTTGAAGTTTTAGTTGTATTAATAATATTAATAACTTGCATTTCCATAGTATACTTGTACTGTACAGAGATCTCCCACATATATTATCTCAGTTGATGTGAATAATAGACCTATTAGATAGTGGAGAGCTGTTATTATTCACATTTTAGTGATGAGGAGGTGCATACTGGGAGAGGTTAACCATCTCGGCTGAGGTAACAAAATTAATAGCATCTACTATTGAAAGCAGTCATCAGCAGTAATGGCCATTTTCAGGCTCCAGTGAGATTGAGTTTGAATCAATAATCAAAAGCTTATGCATTTTCAAAGCAAATGTATATCCACATTTTCTTAAACTATCATTTTATGATTGAAATAGCAGTTCAAATTATAGCTGTTTTTGATTGAAATTAACTCTTCCAGCAATTATTTTGACTAATGTTTTGACTCCTTAGCCATATTAACCAAAGTAATTATTTTTATTCTATACATGAATTAATCCAAATGTAAAATACTGATTATCAAGTGTCTTCATATTTTAAGCTATTAAAAATATATTTAAATCATATTTATACTATTTGTTTCTTTTCCTAAAGAGTAATTAACATGGAAAAAGATAAACACAGTCATTTCTACAACCAAAAAAGTGACTTCAGAATTGAGCATAGTATGCTAGAAGAATTGGAAAATAAATTAATTAACAGCAGGAAAACAGAAAGTAAGTTGAGTTTCTGATGAACTAAAAACTGTTAAGCGATATAAAGCTGTAGTTTTACCCTGTGCTTTGTCTTTGTGCATTGACTGTGTTGTGTTCTCTATAGAGTCAGTTCTGTATTAACTGTGTTATATTCTCTATATTTTATTTGGTAAAATTTGTCTTTTAGGGACATGTGTTTATTCTTTCACGTCACTATTTAGTCATACTAACTGGATTGTTTTCTGTTGTATATTTCTTCAAATTTAACAAGAAAAAGAGGATTTGGGGGATATTTTTGGTTGACAAACCAGCAAATGCTATTATAATTTTTTAAAAGCAGAGTGATTTCTGGGCTGTCTGATGATAGCTCATTACCCTGGCATTGTTGACTGAGCCCTGGATTCAGTAAGCATCAACAGATTCAAAGCTATAATTAGTAGTTGTATGAAGTGATCAAGTCAAATAATTGCATAAACCTGAGTTTCCCTGTCTACTTTCTAAAACTTGTACCTCAGGAGAGCCGTACTGTGCATCTGATGAGATAATATATAAAAACGCACCTTATAGATAGATTGTACATGACTATGTTCTTTTGTTTGTTATGAATATTAATCATTGTCAATAGTGTACTAAATGTTACCTTTAAAGAATTCTGAGAATACTTGTTTCATTGTAGTGTTAGATTCTGTATGTTGTAAAATCTTTATAATAAAAAAGCTGCTTAGCATTTCTTAAAGGAAAAATAATGGTTATCAAATAACTAAGCTTTATAAAATATTAAGACACTGTGAAGAGATGAGACTGCTCATGATACTCCCTTATCATCAATTAAAATAAATTCCTAGTGATTTTTTTCTTTCAGAATATAAGGTTACACCATTTTTTAAAAGAAAATATTACACTACTTTAAAAAGTTATCCTTTGTCAAGCAGTGGCAGGAGTAATTTTCCTTCTTTTATTGGAATGACAGCAGGACCTAATATAAACACTAGATTTCTAGTTATCTCTTCTCTTTGATACATTGAAAAACCTAGACACCCCTGATTCAATATTTCTTTATTTCCCTCAGTTATTTTGTAGACGACCGGGAGGCTGATTTTTCTGTCTCAGTAATGCCAATAAGTAAAATTTTGTGCAAATTTTAGTTCACTTGATTTTCCCTTTATTATGGCAACTTGATTTGTACCAATCTATTTCCCTTTGTTCTACAGTTTTGCTCTTATTTAGTAACACTTTATGTTTTTCCTGTCTAGGAGAGTAAAGAATGCTTGTCTTAGTATGAAGGTAGAGAAGTTTTCCCTTCATATATTACAGCTAAGCAGTAGAAATACCTATTCCTTACCTCAAATATCATGCCACAATTTTAGCCTGCATTTATATCATACTGTACTTAAATGATTTGTCTATATATCCAAATGAATAAATAAAATAAAAAGACTATCAGCCCTGTAGTGATATTTTGGTAGCTGATCAAACTAAAGCTAAAATAAAACAATAAAAAACACTTTCCTAAGTACTAGAGAAGTTTCTTGACCTAAAGTTCAACAGTAAGACCCTACAAAGCAAATTACAAAAAGTTTCTGCCTTTATGGAATTCTTGAATTTTAATGAAAAACACGGAACAAGCCAAAGTTGTCATATACATATTAAGAGGTTTATTTTGGATATTCACACTGACTGCAAACCTATAAGTAAACTTTTTCTTAAAAAATAATTACTTTTAAGGACTTTTGTACAGAGCCTTTGATGCTTCTTGCTCATTTGTGGAAAAGTTGCAAAAACAAAAAAGAGGAGGGTACATAAAGTACCCTAAGATGATAAAATAATAATATTACTATTATAGGAATGTGAATGTTTTGACATTAGCCTAGTAATTTAGTAAATATTAAAGTAAGATTAATGCTTCAGAAAAGAAAATATGAAAGAAGAATCCTTCATGCTGATAAAGATGATTTGGAAACATCGTTGAGACTCTCACTTACTTTTTAGGCTTTATTGTGGGCCTAATATTTTACTCCAGGCTGGTCCTTTGGTTGAGCTTGGCAACCTGTGGCACAGTATACCACTGAATGATACCCGAGGCACCTCCTCAGGGCCGTGACAGTGATATCAATGAATATCACCTGCCCCTTTCCTAGAGGATTTGGTTGGATGAAATTAATTCTCAATGGGAAATTTCTCAGTATTCACAGAATTAGATAGTTTTAATATTCCCACAATACAGTTAACATGAAATTCTATTTCCATAAATTATAACAAATTAAAAAGAAACGAAACACTATTAAAGAACAAAACAATGCTGAAACTGCTAACATTTACATCTAAAACAATGTCCAATAACTCAATCTACACAGAGGGAGAGAAAAAGACATTTCCTTAGCACAGGTTATAGTAAGACTTAACCCATTATGCTTTTCAATATTGGAAGATATTGAAAAATGCTTTATTTACAGCAAAGGTACTTAAAGTATTAATGTTTTGACATAAATAACTATCTTTTGTTCTTTATTTAATTGCTCTAGGCTTTTACTAACAGTGATCAGTCTTACATGTAGAATCCTGAATTATAACCACATTTGTCACAGAATTATTTTCAAGGGCATACTTCTTCCTTATAGGAGCAAAAATCCAGCAACAATTGGCCAAAATACATAACAATGTAAAGAAACTGCAGCATCAGTTAAAAGATGTGAAGCCTACACCTGATTGTAAGTGAATTTAAATATAATCTTTCTTACGTGTTAGTATTTTCTATTTGGCATTAATGGAGCTCTACTTTATTGGTTAGGACTTAATAAACTTATTAATGGAGCTAAACTCTATCAGTTAGGCTTTAGTAAGTTTGCAGTGGAGAACTATAATTGGGCATTTCTGTGTGTATCCGTTAAAGTATTATCAAATCCTTACAAATTATAAGGTAGGCAGAACACATACTAGTGTCATTTACAGGACTGGGAAATCTGTGTTATAGAAAGGTTTAAAAACAGCTAATTAAGGGGAAAAAAGATTGATTTCCTTAATCCTATCCAGTGTTTTCCCTTCATTGGCTTTTTGAAATAATTATCTTTGAGAGGCATTTCTAATGCATAAGGAAAGGTTAAACAGATTTACGACAAATGCTAGTGTTTAGAAAAAAATCCCACAAATTATATTCCTACCTCCTTGCTTAATGTAACATTCATTCCTGAGAATCAAAGCAATAAATTAAAGGGCTCAGGGTGTATGGACTTAGGAATCAGACAGGTGTTGTGTCAAACCCTTGATCTTTCATTTGTTAGCTATGTAATTTTAGGCAAGTTACTTGATATCTCTGAGATTTCATTTCCTCAGCTCTAAAATGGAGATAATTATGATATGAGTGTATAGGGAAAAAATCTGTAATCAGAAAAAATTACAATCATAAAAATTCACTTTTGAGCACAGCTTTCTTATGCCTTAGGCTAAGAAATGTTTTAAAATTAGGGGAACACTCCACTTTTTCTTCCTAATATTTAACTTTTAGCCATATGGGAAAATGACACAAAATAATTCTCCGTGTTTCTTTTACAGTTGTTGAGAAGCTCAGAGAAATGATGGAAGAAATTGAAAATGCAATTAACACTTTTAAAGAAGAGCAGAGGTTGATGTACGTTTTAAACTTGTTTTAATATAAAATTATTGACTTTTTTTTTAATAACTGGCCCCACTAGGTTTTTGTATATAATGCATTCTGTTATTATGTATTTGAGTCTTACACAAAAGCAATATAATATCTTTCTTGTTTTTGGGTTTAGGTGGCTTTTCATATTTAAAGTGAAATTTTATTCATATTTAATTACTATAAAATTCCCAAATAAGAATTTGAAAGATTGTTTTTAATCTCTGAGGAGACCCTTTTAAGGCTTAGATTTATAAATGTTAATAATGTTAAGTGGAGAAGATGATATAAAGAGTCAGGTATCTTAAATTTGATGGAAAATGAAGGGTTAATATGGATTGTCTTCTTATTCAAACTTTATTTTTAAAATTTTAGATATGAAGAGCTAATTAAAGAAGAGAAGACAACTAATAATGAGTTGAGTGCCATATCAAGAAAAATTGACACATGGGCTTTGGGTAATTCAGAAACAGAGAAAGCTTTCAGAGCAATCTCAAGCAAAGTTCCTGTAGACAAAGTAACACCAAGTACTCTTCCAGAAGAGGTACTAGATTTTGAAAAATTCCTTCAGCAAACAGGAGGGCGACAAGGTGGGTGGGATGATTATGATCACCAGAACTTTGTAAAGGTGAGAAACAAACATAAAGGGAAGCCAACATTTATGGAAGAAGTTCTAGAACACCTTCCTGGAAAAACACAAGATGAAGTTCAACAGCATGAGAAATGGTATCAAAAGTTTCTGGCTCTAGAAGAAAGAAAAAAAGAGGTAATAATTACAATAGCTATTATTCATTCTGTGTTTCTATGTCCTAGGCACTGTACTGAATACTTAACATGTCTCATTAACTTTACAGCAATCCCATGAAGTGTGTTTATAGTTCCCCTCCCCCCACAATCTAATAGAAGATGAAACTGAGGCATTGAAGTTAAGTAATTTTGGCCAGGCACAGTGACTTACACCTGTAATCCCAGCACTTTGTGAGGTTAAGGCGGATGGATCGCTTGAGCTCAGGAGATCGAGACCAGCCTGGGCAACATGGCAAAGCCCCGTCTCTACAAAAAATACAAAAAAATTAGCTGGGCATGGTGGGACCTGTGGTCCCAGCTACTTGGGAAGTGGAGGTGGGAGGATTGCTTGAGCCTAGGAGGTTGAGGCTACAGTGAGCTGTGATTGCACCATTGCACTCTAGCCTGAGCGAGACCTAGTCTCAAGAAAAAATAAAAATGAAAAAAGAAAGTTATTTTACTCATTTAATAGAACGACATTTGCACTTCCTCATAGCCAAATATGTCTCCCTCACAAATAACACAATGGGACAAAAAGCCTCTGATTATGGGTCCAATCCTCTGTATCCACTTCTCAGAAATGTGAGCAATCCAGATCCACTGAGACTTTTAAAAAAAGTCATCTTACCAGCAAAGGCCACATTGTTTTTATGGAAATATCAAGGGGCAGTAGAAAAAATGCTTTGACTATTAAACATTTCTTTGAGATTTTTAAACTTCAACCATATTGTTTATTTTAAAGACTCAAAATGTTAGCTACCCCAGAAAATAAAACAACACGTGATTGTGGCAGATACCTAAAAATGTCCATTTTTACAAAACTATTACTCTGGCTTTGCATTAGATCAATATTTCTTAACCTTGATACTATTGACATTTGGAGCTAGATAATTCTTTGTTGTGGGGGCCTGTTCTGTGCATTATAGGATGGCATCCCTGGTTTCCAGTGAGTAGATGCTTGTAATATCTCCTTAACTGTAATTACCAAAAATGTCTCTAGCCAGATATCCACATAGCCCCTAGTTGAGAACCACAGTAAATCAGAGTCATTTTTTTTTTTTTTGTAGAGTTCAGTGGTGATGAAGTTTGACTTACCTGGTTTAATAAAAAAATTATGTTTATTCCATAGATGGCATACCTAAGGTGTATTAAAGAAATAATTGAGTCCATGTTTAGTCTAAAGTTTTAGAGGGAGTAGCTGCATTTTTGTTGTTCTTGTCATTCCCTTCCCTCCCTCCAGCAATAAATTGAATGTAGGGAAATTGACTTTTCAGGTTTTAAGAAAAATGTTTGAAACATAAGTCATTTGGGCTTTTTTCCCCAGGATACTGAAAACATGGGATTCTCAAAGTGGTCCCTAGTCCAGCAAAATCAGCATCACCTGGGACCTTATTAGAACTTAGCAGGCTCCAACTCCAGACCTGATTAGAACTGTGAGGGTAGGGCCCAGAAATCTATGCTTTACCAAGTCCTCTAGTTTATTCTGCTAATGAAAACCACCTCTTTAGGAAACAGAAACAGACACACTGCTTCTTGTGATAAAAGTAAACCCCTCGGATTCTAGCTTATTCTCCTTGTTCCCATCTGCTCTATTTCCTGGTATTTGATGACTGATATGTCATCAGTTGGATAGGATATGAGCAGGATGTAGGGGTGAGATAGAAGGGTTTGTGAAAGTGGAGGTGCCATTTACTGAAGTAGGGCATGTTGGAGGAAGAAAGGGAAGTTTGGAGGAAAATATCAGGAGTTCAGTTTTAAATCTAGGGAGTTTTAAGATGTTGAGTAGGAAATTTACCATTTTTATCTCCCACTTCCTTTAATATATCATGTGTTGTTAATAAGTGAAGATATTATACTGACATTTTCAGACATGCGCTGAACTTTCTGGCCTGAATGCCCTTGCTTATCTTGTTCTCACTTTCTGGAACCTCCATTCTTTCTTTCCCCCTCCAATCCCAGCTTATCAAAATTGGCCCAGATCGGATGTTGCCTCCTCCTTGCCCACCCAAACATAAGTAGCTTCCCTCAGGATTTCACTAACACTTACACCTTTTATATGATGTGTCGTGGTATGCCCATGTTGAATTTTATCTAGAACAGTGCTGCTCAGACTTGGTCCATGGACTAAATATGGGTTTGCAAACTGTTACTGGTTTACAGTGGGATAAAATGGTTGCACCAGAATTAACTATGCAGTGAACACTGTTTAGTTCAGTTGGCTTTTTTTTTCCCATAGAAAATTTTCACATTGGAAGAAGCAGTGCATTGATTTGCCTTTTGACACAAATTCCTGATATTTTTGCAGACTGGTATTTTGAGTAGCACTGTACTAGATGGCATTTGGTGTAGCTTTAATATTGTTTCATTGTTCCTATCACATTGCCTTGTATATAGTGTATATACATACCATAAGGATTTATTGAGTAGAATGAATGATACACCATAAGGAAAGATGAGGAAATAGTTTCTTGACTTGGAATATGCCCTAAATGGCATGGAGAAGCCTACTAGAATTTGAAATAATTTTTACATACCCATATGTAAAGACAGCTCTGTAGCTATTGTGCTGTTTTATTTATTTATTTATACATACCTAGGAAGTACCATGTGCCAGATGCTAACTCATTTAATCTTTGTAACAACACTGTTTAAGAAATACTACCTACCAGGTAGATGAGCAAAATGAGGACAGAGAAGTTTAGTGGCTCATCCAACGCTACACCTAGTAAATGGCAAAGCCAGGATTTGGTCCCAAATAGTCTGGCTTCAGCACTCATGTTCTTAACCACCCTACTCTTAATTCTTCTTCTGATATTTGACCAGATAAAGATCACTTAGAAAGTATTCTAAGCCTAGAAAGAGAATTTGGAAGCAGAAATGAGATGATTAGAGGAAAGGGATGTTACCCATGAAAATAAAAGAAGCAAGTAGGCCCGGCGCGGTGACTCACACCTGTAATCCCAGCAATTTGGGAGGCCAAGGTGGGTGAATCATCTGAGGTCAGGAGTTCAAGACCGGCCTGGCCAACATGATGAAACACTATCTGTACTAAAAATACAACAAAATTAGCCGGACATGGTGGCTGGGGCCTATAATCCTGGCTTCTTGGGAGGCTGAGACGGGAGAATCTCTTGAACCTGGGAGGCAGAGGTTACAGTGAGCTGAGATTGTGCGACTGCACTCCAGCCTGCACAACAAGAGCGAAACTCCGTCTCAAAAAAAACAAAAGAAAGGTAAAGAGGAGAAGGATAGTTCATGAGTTGTTGTCCTTGTGAACCTGGTGACTAAGAGAGAAAGAGGAAGGCCAAAAGGATAACCCATTATTCACAGTTTTAAGAGACAGTAATTTTTAAAAAACAGAAGTAGAAAAAAATTGCATTGGTTAAAAACAAAACAAAGCTGAAAAACCTAAGCATCCAGCATCCCGCAATCAATGTTTTTTCTAGAAAGATGGAATTGATGTCTTTGAAAATACTTTTGACTGTTAAAAAACTTTTTTCTTTTGCTTTCTTTTTTTAAAAAAATCATTTAGTCGATTCAGAGTTGGAAAACTAAAAAGCAGCAAAAAAGGGAGGAAATTTTCAAGTTAAACGAAAAGGCAAACAACACACCTATGCTTTTTCATAATAAACAAGAAGATAATCAAAAGCAAAAAGAAGAACAAAGAAAGAAACAGAAATTGGCAGTTGAAGCTTGGAAGAAACAGAAAAGTATAGAAATGTCAATGAAATATGCTTCCCACTTAAAAGAAGAGGAAGAGAAAGAGAAAAAACGTCAGAAAGAACGCCAGCGCCAGTTTAAGTTAAAATTACTACTAGAAAGTTATACCCAGCAGAAGAAAGAACAGGAAGAATTTTTGAGGCTTGAAAAGGAGATAAGGGAAAAGGCAGAAAAGGCAGAAAAAAGGAAAACTGCTGCTGATGAAATTTCCAGATTTCAAGAAAGAGTGAGTAAATCTATTTCCTAAATAATTTTTAAATGCTACACATGGAGGTATTACTTCCAAATTCAGTTCAGCAAAAATTGAGTACTTGTATATTGAACCTGTATATAGCATTAGTATACCAAAATGAGTAAGCCGTGCTCCCTAATTTCTAGTAGGTTATAGTCTAGTGGGAAAGATATGTGGAAGTAGGAGATTCCAGCATAATGTGTTAAAGAGTGTGGTGATTGAGGTATGGACAGAGTACTTAGGAGGGAGTATAGAGAGGGACACTACCACAGCTATGAGTGGCAGAGAAAAGGTAATACTTAGGTTGACTCTTGAAGGGAAGGAAAGATGAGGTCCTTCCTAGCAGAGGCAACAGCATGAATAGCAGCTTGAAGGAGTGAAACAGTATGGTTTGTGATGGAAACTATTAACACTTCAATATTCTTAAGGCATTAGGCAGGAGAGGGGAACCAACAGATGATGAGACTAGAAAGGTAGCCATAGGCAAGGCTGAGTGATTTGTCTTCTTTGCCAAATTGCCCGGCTTTACCATATTGATGACTTGCTTATTTGTTCATTTACCCACCATAATGTAGGCTACATGAGGGCATTAGTGGTGTGTTTGCGTTAGTGGTGTGTTTTTTTGAGCATCCCTGTACCCTAGAGTTAGGTGCATTGTAGATACTTGTCTATTTAAAGGAATCGAGATTATTGCTGGGTGGTCAAATTAAAGGTGATTTTAGACAAACATATACAAGAAAAATGCTAATAAAGACGCACTGGCAGAATTCATTCCAAAAAGTATTAAGACAAGGAAGGGGACTTTAAAAATGAAAAAGCATGCAAATGAGATATAACTTATGAATTGTTATGTGCATCAAAATATATAGCAGCAACGTTTGTAAAGCAAAAACTAAGGGAGGTATAAAGAAAAATAACAGACAAAAATACAGACAAAGCACATTAATACTGAAAATTTTAGTTCATTTATTTTAAAAATCTTCCTAAGTAACAAAAGTTCCCATTCCTTCTCATACACCCCCAAAATAAGCAGGACATGTAATAAAAGAAAAAATAAAACCCACAAAACAGAAAATATAAAATAATAAGAGAGATCTGAAATCAGACATACTTGCATTGATGAATGAAAATGGGCTTAACTCACTTATTAAAAGAGAGTTTTAGGTTGAACCTTAAAGTAAAACAAGAGATGCCTAAAATAAAGTAATACAGAAAGGATGTGCATGTGTTAACGTTTATATTCAGAGAAAATAAAGCTCTTAGCCTTTGTTGGAAAGAGTTAATAATGAAGGAATATTGATAGGTAAGGTAATTTAATTTTACTTGTGAACAACTAAATTTTGAACAAATTCTAGTTCAAATGATATCTTAATGCTATGGGTTTTTTTTTTTTAAGGATTTACATAAACTTGAATTGAAAATTCTAGATAGACAGGCAAAGGAAGATGAAAAGGCACAAAAACAAAGAAGACTGGCAAAATTAAAAGAAAAGGTACTCTGCACTGAGATTATTTTTATTGTTATTATCCTATTTCCTTGATTTGTAAGGATACTGACATCAAATCTATTTCCTTTATATCTCATCTTATTTCTATAACATCTACTTTAAATTTCATACTTATTTACATAGTAGCAAGCATAACTTGGTACAATTTAAGCAACCATTATTTGAATTCTGTCATTTTACCTTATGAGCACCGTTTTCTTTCACTCTGAATTATTGTTCCCCCTACTTGTCGTTTAAAAAATTTTTTCTATATGAACCTCTATTTTAGATAATGGCAGCTATGAGCATTGCCTAATCTCTTGTAGTACTCAGAGCTGAAAATGTTGGTGACCCTCACCGATAAAACAGAAGACTTATTGGTAGTTACTTATCCTAAATTTGTTGTCTGGCTATATCACTAGCATACTTAGCTGCATTACATTTCTCTCATAATAGAAATAGAAAAATAAGAATAGAATAAAATAATAGAACTAAAAGAAATAAACTAACAGTTTATGAATAGATCGATGTAGTCTAAATTTTCCTTTAGCTATATGAGCCCAATGAGAAGTTTACTGAGGTTATTAATAGTTTTATTAGCCAATATTAACTATGTCTTTTAAAACTGCACTAAGCCTTTTACTTACTTACTAGTACAAACTGAGTTTGTATAATTAACTGGTACTATTTTACTTCTGATTACAGGTTGAAAACAATGTTAGTAGAGATCCCTCTAGGCTTTACAAACCCACGAAAGGTTGGGAAGAACGAACCAAAAAGATAGGACCAACAGGCTCTGGGCCACTTCTACATATCCCACATAGGTAAGAAAGAGAATTGGTGTTCATTTAGTAATTTAATTGCTGCATGTTTATATTTTATGCACTTACTGTGTGTAAATTATATTTTTCATATATATATGAAAATATATATATAATGTATAAGTATATATAATATATAAATGTTTTTACCTAAATCTTTTTATATAAATATATAACATATATTTATATATATGTGTATATATAATATATATAAATATACATATTTTTTCATATATATGAAAAAAATATATATACATTTGCCTTTCAGGTCACTTTTATTTAAAAATAAACAGTAGATAAAAGTAAAAGTAGGTCGAGTGCAGTGGCTCACGCCTGTAATCCCAGCACTTTGAGAGGCCAAGGAGGGCGGATCACGAGGTCAGGAGTTTTGAGACCAGCCTGGCCAACATAGTGAAACCCTGTCTCTACTAAAAATACAAAAAAAATTAGCCGGTCATGGTGGTGTGCACCTGGAGTCCCAGCTACTCAGGAGGCTGAGGCAGGAGAATCACTTGAACTTGGGAGGCAGAGGTTATGGTGAGCCGACATTGTGCCACCTGGGTAACAGAGTGAGGCTCCATCTCAAAAAAATAAATAAATCAATGAAGTACAAGTAGTACCCAATGCCCTATTAGATATTACATTCATGTTAGTAGATGCCATTTTCTGCCTTTTTCACATTAATATTTATTTTTATAAGAAAAGTAGTAGTATTGAAAAAGAATGAATGAAAGATTGATAGATTAATAAGTAGATTAACTGATTGGTTTGTCCGTCAATCAGTTTGAGAGCTAGAGCAAGAAATAAAACCTTAATGAGGGTTGTAAACCTACATGCCCATATGAACCAGACAAACAACATGCAGGGTAGGTTATATATATATTTTAAAGTTAGCATTTAATCAGATAGGGTTTTTTTCTTTTTAATTTCCTATATATTTACAATCGCTTTTCTCTTTCTCTCCGTAGGGCTATTCCAACCTGGAGACAAGGAATACAGAGAAGAGTATGAGATAATGAAATTGCTACTCAGTTAATAAGAATGTTAACATACTAAGTTACACCAGGGAGAAAGTGACTAACCATGTTCTTTAAATATAAATAGCCTAGTCAGATTGATTATTGTGCTATATTGTGAATTGAGAGGTATTAAGTTTCATGAGACTTTGTCATTAGTATTCCTGCTTCTACCACGAAGGTATTTAATATATGTGTTGGCCTATTATTGATGTAAAAGTTATTTAAATAAGTTAATGTTACAAACATTATTTAATTTAAATACTCAAAACATTTCAAAGAGATTTTGTTTTTGTCATAGCATAGCAAAATAAATTGGAACAATCATACAATGACATTTTTTAAACCAAAATTTTGTAACTTTTGTAACTTGGAGTTAAGTTAGCTTGAGTAACAAAAAGGTAAAGTGGTTTTTGTTTAGAGTTATGAAATGTTAGTACTTTTTCTATGTTTAACAAATTGGCAGTTTGTCAGTTATGACATTTTTGTGTAATAAATATTTTGTATTTATTTGAAGCATGCTTTGTTTTGTATAGAGAATATTTATTTTAAAAATATGTCTCTCATATACCCTATTAATTGTATTATTGATATAATCTTTTTGGTTTCCTTCAGCAATCCCAAATTTTCCTTTAGCCTTTCTGGATTGCACATATTTATAAAATCTTCGTGTCTTTCACATCTTCCTGGCTAATGCAGTTTTCTTTTCTGCTTCTGTTTGCCTCAAAATAGGAAAATTCTTTGTTCTGAAACGTCATCTGAAATAAGCCAGCTTTAGAATACTGTGATTTCTCTTGATAGCACTTAAAATGTTTTAGGTGGGGCATGGTGGCTCATGCCTGTAATCCTAGCACTTTCAGAGGTCAAGGTAGGAGAATTGAGGCCTGGAGTTTGACACTAGCCTGGGCAACACAGGGAGACCCTGTCTCTATGAAAAAAAAATTTAATTAACTGGGTATGGTGACACACACCTGTAGTCCCAGCTACTTGGGAGGATAAGGTAGGAGGATCACTTGAACTCAGGAATTCCAGGTTGCAGTAAGCTACTATGGCACCACTGCACTCCAGCCTGGGTGAGAGAGTGAGACCCTGTCTCTAAAATGAATGAAGGAAGGAATGAATGAATAAGATCTTTTAAAGCTGTTAGATTAACATATTTGGTCAAAAGAGTTAGTTCTTAAATTTCTAAACTTTTATACATGAAAACACAATGTAATTGAATACAGTTCAACTTTTCATATTATAAAATATTCCTTTCTAACTTTAATTTGTTCTCATAGGAAAGATACTATATACATAAAAACATAGGAAATTTATTCCTTACAATTTTTGTCTTAGATAATCTTTATCTTTCATTGTTAATGTGATGAATTTAGGTTAAATGACTCAGAAATGTACTGAGTAGTGATCAAAATCTTTTCTTATTTTATAGTTAATATTCAAAGTAGATGGCTTCCAAATTTTAGAAACTGAATTCTGATTTGTACAGTTATTGGGGCAGAATGAGAAAATTGACCTAAAAGATCCTTAAACAGGAGTGCTGGTTTTGTTACTTGTTTTCCAAAACTTTTTTGTAATCATTTGAAGTCGTTTAGAGATAAAATATAGAGGCTGGGCGCAGTGGCTCAGGCTTGTAATCCCAGCACTTTGGAAGGCCAAGGTGGGCGTATCACGTGAGGTCAGGAATTCAAGACCAGCCTGGCCAACATGGTAAAACACCATCTCTACTGAAAATACAAAAATTAACCTGGTGTGGTAGTTCACGCCTGTACTCCCAGCTACTTGAGAGGCTGAGGCAGGAGAATCGCCTGGACCTTGAAGGCGGAGGTTGCAGTCAGCTGAGATTGCGCCACTGTACTCCAGCCTGGGCAACAGAGTGAGACTCCATCTCCAAAAATAAATACATAAATAAAATATAGAGCAAGACAAGGGAATTTAAAAGCAGAACTGAGAAGCTACAAGATACAAAAAACGTTTCTTACGTATTGCTTTTTTACGTGTTGCTTTTTGTTGCACGGAAATGCAGCTTTCAAATTCCTGTATCTAAGGTAAGCATTCTGCATGATGTGATTCTTATGGCTTTGTTTTTTGATATTTTTTTTTAAATAAAGAAAAGTGTGGAAGTTCCTCCGAAGAAATCAGTTTTTCTAGCTGAATCTGAAATAAATGATGAATTTATTATATAGATCCTTTACATAAAAGATGTAAGATAAACACAAATATCTTCAGTTACAGAGTTCATAGAAGTTATAGGTTCATAAACTAGATGTCAAATAAACATTTATTTTACTGGTTTAAAAAGTACATTAGCTTCTTCTCCGAGAAAACACCAAATCGCGGATGACGCCAGTGCAGCAGGGGGCCTGGGATAGGGAACTGGGGTCGCAGCTGGCCCTGGGATGGGGAACTGGGATCACGGCCATCGAGTGGGTCAGGGCCAGCCACGGAGTTCCCGGAGGCAAGGCCAAGGCCAAGGAGTAGATGCTTGTCATCAAGCTGGGCCGCCTGGTCAAGGACATGAAGATTAAGTCCCTGGAGGCGATCTGTCTTTTCTCCCTACCCATCAAGGAGTCTGTGATCATTGACTTTTTCCTGGGGCCTCTCTCAAGGATGAAGTTTTGAAGACATGCCAGTGCAAAAGCAGACCCGCACCGGCCAATGCACCAGGTTTAAGGTGTTTGTTGCCATCTGGCACAATGGCCACACTGATCTGCGTGTTAAGCTCCAAGGAGGTGGCCACTGCCATCCACGGGGCCATCATCCTGGCCAAGCTCTCCGTTGTGCCCATGTGCAGAGGCTACTGGGGGAACAAGATTGGCAAGCCCCACACCATCCCTTGCAAGGTGACAGGCTGCAACGTCTCTGTGCTGGCCTAGGTCATCCCTGCACCCAGGGGCACTGGCATCATTGGCCCCCATGGCCAAGAAGCTGCTGCTGATGGCTGGTATGGATGACTGCTACACCTCAGTCAAGGGCTGCACTGCCATCCTGCACAACTTCGCCATGGTCATTTTTGATGCCATCTCTAAGGCCTACAGCAGGCTGACCCCTGACCTCTGGAAGGAGACTGTATTCACCAAGTCTCCCTATCAGGAATTCACTGACCACCTCCTCAAGACCCACACCAGAGTCTCTGTGCAGAGGACCCAGGCTCCAGTGGTGGCTACAACATAGGGTTGTACAAGAAAAATAAAGTGAAGTAAGCCTGGAAAAAAAAAGTACATTAATAAGAAATATAGAAAAAACACTAAAGAAGAAATGTTATAAAGTACTCATAATTCCAGGGTAACTTTTACAAAAAACATACCTACATATTTTTAAATTGTTACAGTCATATAGTACATATTAATTACTATGCCATAATTGCATTACACATTTTCATACATTTCTACGTAATTCAGACATCATCATGTAGTGGCTAAATAATATTCAATTATATAGATGTTCTATCATTCCCATTCTGTTATGCATATGCCAAAAATCTTACATGGCTAAAATCACTCATGGAAACCTTTTACCAACCCAGGAGGCATTCTATATTATCTCTCAATGAGTCCCACATCGCAAATTTTTCCTCCAGATTTGGATCAGATTGCTAGTCCTTGAACTAAGAATCAGATGAAATATTTGGCTTCCCTAACTTAAGGGCCATGTTTATTAGAATTAATTTTCTGAGAATGCATAGAGTGTCCATAGCTGATTCCAGTAAGTTAAACGTGTATAAGACTCCACATTGAAAATCTTCAGGTATTTGGGGGTATGTGTGCTAAGTGAGAGATCTTAATTGTAATAACAGTGAAAACTCCAGACTGGGCATACCTGATGGGCAAGGACTGTGAGCCCCGTATTTGTAGGAAAGTACCGAGGACAACCTAGTATCCATCTCTGGCTGTTTGTTAATGCATTATTTTGTAAAGACATGCAGGAATACCTGTGAATAGGTAGTTAATAGTACCAAAAATTACTCAGAGCACTTTGAATTGTTGAATAAGTGTAAAATTATCCCAGCCCACAGAGTATAAGAATTACGTTTTCTAAGAAAGCTAACAAAACTATACCCAAAATTTTATTAGTTAAGTTGATTACAGGTAACCTAGTTTAGTTCTATTATTGGGTGGATCCCCCCACCCCGCTACCCAGGAATGCCTCATGAACATTTAAAGGGCATAGTATAATGGCTAAAACAACTTAAATCCCTATTTTGGGGGGGGGGGGGGAACTAGAAGCACGTTTAATTTTTTTAGAATGCAGGTAATTGGAGAAGATGTTGGGCTTATTTTGCTGTTGCAGATTGATGCACCATTGATTCTTGATAACACGTTGACTCAAGGAAAGTAAAATCTAGGATTTGTAAAAGCATGACACAAGCAGTCACACATAGATATGAATATGCATGTTGTATATGTTTGGGGGCATTATATACAGATTTTAAAGTGATTTCTGGTATCCAGAAAGGATTAGGATTAGGAAAGTCTCTGAACTTTCGTAGTGTCAATAAACATTTATCTCCACTGTTTTGTTTTTGCTTTTTGTTTCGTTTCCCTAACCGTTCAGCTTAAAACTGGCCCTCCAAAAATGAATCTGTTAGCAAGTTTATAGTGATCCATCCCCGTTTTCAGATATACCATCCTCAGGTTCTACAGAGCCAGCATTGTCTCAAAGCGAACTTGATGCTTTTGACCTTGGGCTTCCCAAGATAAATATTCTGACGGAGGGATATGTGGACTGGATTTTCACAAGCCTGCGAGGTGTTTACAAGCCTCGAGGGCTTTGGGTAGAAATGGCTGGGTCATGCTCTAGCTAAGGAGATATCGGAGAGAGGAAGTGCTGCACAAGACCCAGATGATAGCGGTTTCAAATACTGGCTTAGTCTGCGGCGAGCGCAGGTCCCCTTACCCGGCACCTCCGGGTCAGCCCAGGAGGGTTCTTTCATTCCGCGCGCCAACTGATTCCGGGTCGCGGCGGACGTCGCTTCCGGAGCAGCATGGCGGCCACTGAGGACGAGAGACTAGCAGGGAGCGGTGAGGGGGAGCGGCTGGATTTCTTGCGGGATCGGCACGTGCGATTTTTCCAGCGCTGCCTCCAGGTTTTGCCGGAGCGCTATTCTTCGCTCGAGACAAGCAGGTAACTGGTGGCACAGTCAGCCAGGCTGGCACAAGGCCCGGGCCCCAGCGGAAAGGCGCGGCGGAGTTGGACCGCAAACTGGGCGCCCGAAGGGGCTGCGCTGCCGCCCACTTGGCACTGACTGGTTTCAAGTGGGCTTGAGGTTACTCTCACTCCCTCGCCGTACGGTGGGAAGGTCTGGAAGGCTGTACATCCAGGGCTGTAGAATCTCCAGTTTCTGCCGTTTTCACTTCTCATTATTTTCTGGCAACTCTGAGCTTCTTTTTTACTCCTTCCCATAGCCTGTCGCTTTGCCTCATTACTTCCGAATGTGAAAGGAAAAGGACAAAGTTTGTCGTCGTATTTTTAGATGAATACTCCTATGCATCTCTGTCCTCTGTAAAGTCATTAACTCTTAATAGAGTGTCTGTATGGTGTTTTATATGTAGGAGCGGCAGAGAACCTCTAAGGTCTTAGAAACTTCATGGGAACTATAAATCCAATGGTAGGCGAAAGAGGTGCGGTGTTGCGTGAAGCAGCCTATTCAAAGTATTGCAATAGCTGAAGAGTGTGATGCGGC